GCTGGGTTTTAAGGACCAGACACTCAGAGTCTACAGGTCCTCCTAGGCTCTGGGCCTCTGGACAAATAAGTTTTCTCCAGACATTCCATCACTTAGGCTGCCTCCATACTTCATTATGAAGTTTAATATTTCTCTTCTATTCACTTATATGAAAATGTCTTTTTAAAAAAATAGATCAGATGAGGTGGCTCACACCTGTAATCCCAGCACTTTGGGAAGCTCAGCTAATTTTTGTATCTCACATGGTGAGACTAAACCCCATCTCACATGTGAGGTACAAAACTTAGCTGGGTGTGGTGGCACCTGCCTGTTGTCCCAACTACTCAGGAGGCTGAGGCAGGAGAATCACTTGAACCCGGGAGGCGGAGGTTGCAGTGAGCTGAGATCACGCCACTGCACTCCTGCCCGGCACTCCATCTCAAAAAATATATATAGCTAGTTAGACCAACTGATCACTTATTACCAATGATTTGCTGTGGGATCAGAGGAAAATTGGTGAAGTTTATTAGATCTCAGATTTCTTTTATGAGAAAAACCTCTTATAAGAGAACTAATAACCTCAAAAATGTAACATATTCTTTGAACACACATATAAACTAGAAAAAAATTGTTTTTTGACATGGAGTCTTGTTCTGTCACACAGGCTGGAATGCAGTAGCGTGATCTCAGCTCATTGCAACCTCCACCTCCTGGGTCCAAGCGATTCTCTTGCCTGAGCCTCCCAAGTAGCTGGGATTACAAACACCCACCACCATGCCCAGCTAATTTTTGTATTTTTTAGTAGAGATGGTGTTTCACTTATGTTGGTGAGGATGGCCTTGATCTCTTGACCTAGTGATACACCCACCATGGCTACCCAAAGTGCTGGGATTACAGGCATGAGCCACCGCACCTGGCCGAAAATTCTATTAGTATGAAAAAGACATGCCTTTCATCCTATGTAAGGGAGGAGGCCCTCGCATGGCCAGGAATCTCTCTGACAGTCTTGTGCCCAAGCTAGAAGAAAGTGTCTAGTTCTCTGAGGCTCCCCGCTTCAGCAACTCCACTGCCTTCAAGACACTCCCCTCATCAGCCCTCCAAGTCACTTCCAGATATTCAGACCAAATATGAGGTCGCTTTCATGACCAGCCCTAACACAGAGGCAAGGGCATTCTTTTCAAAGCACCTCTGTCCATCTTCTCAGTCTCCTGAATCCCAAAAAGTCCAGCCAGGAATTGTCCTCTTCACTTCACAGCAAGTCTCAATGCTAATGAGGGTAGAAATCAGCTGCAGATCTGGTTAAAACACAGATCTGATTCAGTATGTCTGCAGTTAAACCAGATTTGCATTTCTAAGAAGCACCCACTAATGTCAATGTCGCTGGTATACATGGAAAGATCTCCAAGTCATGTTAAATTTTTTTTAAAAAAAGCAAGGTGCAGAACAACATATATAGTTTGTTACCATTTCTATATCAATGCCACTGAATCTTTTAAAAGAGAGAGAGTAATATGTACATATATATATTGCTTGTATCAGCAATGACTAACAATGGAAAGATGCATGAGAAACTGGTAGCTTCCAGGAAGTGAGCTGGGTGGCTGAGGAATCAAAGGGAGGTGAGAGAAGGACTTATTTTTACTCTGGTCTCTTCTCAATTTTATGCCATAGAGACATATTTCCCACTCGCAAAAGCTAAAATTGAGGCATAATTCTTTTGCTCATCCTGTGCTTCTAAACACTCAAAATACCAACGAAATAGATTCTTTCAACACATATTTTTGAGTACCCTCTTGGTGAGACTCTGGGAGAGTTACTACTTCAAACAGGGATTAGAATAGCACTGACCAAAGAGCATGTGCTCAGAAGCTGGAGTCTCTGAGGGTTCCTGATTTCTCTCAAGGGATCCAAGAGACCTGCCACTGAAGAAAAAATCTCCCAGCCTGAGTTCTCCGCAGCTGGAAGAATTTCTGCACACATAGGTCGGGTGGCCTCATAAAGGAGGGGTCAGTGGTAAGAGCCTAGGAGACTTCCACACATGGATGCTGAGCTGGTGTTTGTGACTAGGAACTTAAAATGGAAGAAAAACTACTTCCCCTACAAAATCTTCCTGTAAGAATTCATATTTCCCTTAGGACATGTTCCCTTCTGCTGAGTTATTTCTGGTTTAAACACCTGACTTTGGCTGGCTGAATTACAGTAGTTCACCCCATCCGCAGTTTCAGTTACCCGTGGTCAATCACGATCTGAAAATATTAAGTGGAAATTCCAGAAATAAACAATTCATAAGTTTTAAATTGCACATGATCCTAAATAGTGTGATAGAATCTCGACTGTTTCACTCCATCCTGCCCAGGATATGAATCATTCCTTCATACAGCATATCCACACTGTATATGCCACTTTCTCATTGGTCAATTAGTAGCTGTCTTGGTTATCAGATCAACTATCTCAGTATCCCAGTGCCTGAGTTAAAATAACCCTTCTTTTGCTCAGTTAGTAACGGCCCCAAAGGGCAAGAGTAGTCATGTTGGCATATTATTATAATTGTTCTACTTTATGAGTATTGTTGTTCAACTCATCCTGTGCCTCACTTATGAATGAAAGTTTATTATAACTATGTATTCATAAATCTATGTATTCATAGAAAAAACGTATAGCAAACATAGGGTTTGGTGCCATCTGCAGTTTCAGTCATCCACTGGGGGTCTTGGAATATATCCACCTCAGGTAAGGAGAGCTAGGGTATTGGGTTTCATTGTACTTCCCTGGTTACTGTGAGTCTTCATTTGTTTTCTGTTGCTTGTAATGGAACACCTAAAACTGAGTACTTACAAAGAAAAAATACTTCTATGTTATCGAGGCTTAGAAGTCCAAGGTCAAGGGGCTGAATCTGGTGAGGGGCATTCCTGCCGGTGGAGACACACTGCAGAGTCCCTAGGTGGTGCAGGACATCACATGGTTGATGATCATCCTAGCTTAGGTCTTTCTTCCTCTTCTTATAAAGCTACAAGTTCTACTCTCAAGATAACTCAATATTTCAAGTCACATTAAGCAGATCCTCTTAAATGTTTCAAACACCTTAAGTAGTATGCATATGAAATATGTATGTATTCAAATATGTATTCAGTAACAAAGGAACATGGTACTGGTACCAAAACAGAGATATAGACCAATGAAACAGGACAGAGGCCTCAGAAATACCACACTTCTACAACCATCTGATCTTTGACAAACCTAACAAAAACGATCAATGGGGAAAGATGCCCTATTTAATAAATGGCACTGGGAAAACTGGCTAGCTATATGCAGAAAACTGAAACTGGACCCCTTCCTTACACCTTATACAAAAATTAACTCAAGATGAATTAAAGACTTAAACATAAGACCTAAAATTATAAAAACCTTAGAAGAGAAAATCAAACACCGCATGTTCTCACTCATAGGCGGGTGTTGAATAGTGAGAATACATGGACACAGGGAGGGGAGCATCACACACTGGGGTCTGTGGGGCAGAACTAAGGGAGGGACAGTGGGGGATGGGGAGTTGGGGAGGGATAACATGGGGAGAAATGCCAGATATAGGTGATGGGGAGGAAGGCAGCAAACCAAATTGCCATGTATGTACCTATGCAACAATCTTGCATGTTCTTCACATGTAGAACAGTGAGCCCAGGAGTTTGAGACCAGCCTGGGCAACATAGTAAGATCCCATCTCGACTTAATAAAACAAAAAAGATGTCAAGGATGCTATATAAGTTAGGGTTCTTAACCTAAGGAGAAAAAGAATGTGTTAGAAAGGTATCTGGTAGCTTATAAAATAGAATAGACGCCTAGAGGACCTAGACAGGACAGGAACCCTGAAAGGCAAGACACAGCCAAGAGCCTACCACAAGAGTGGTCTGTATAGGCTGCCACCACTGAGAACATCAGCTTCAGACCTTCTCCACTGCTGCAGCTCACACTGCCGCCTCTGAACATTCATCACTGGACAAAGCTACCTACCCTAACCTCCACCGCACCCTGTATGGCATCCAGCCACACATTACCCCTAACTGGTCTGACCCTTTTCGTCATTCCCTCAAGTTCAAGTCCGAGTCAGGAGCACCTACCCGTCTGCCAGCACAGTTAGTGTGAATACCCACTGATATTCACAACCATACCTCCAGCTTACAGAGCCCTGCGAGGTGGAAATCAGACCTCCTCCTACTCAGAAGAGCAGGCTAGATTCTATCTTCCTCCTGTCTTGAGGCCTCCAAATACCAAAATAATCACTGAATGTTGAACAGTGAAAATGACAGATTTCAACCGGAGTATCCTCCCCCACAAGGTTCTATAGGGAATATTGCCCTTCTGAATACAGGACGTTGGAGAAACAGTCCATGTGGTGTGGTGTTTGAGCATAGGAAGGAGACTGTAATCATTTGATGTGAGAAAGAATGAAGCCCCCAGACTCTACCCCAGGGAGCAGCTTTTCATCAGTATTATTTACAACAATAATGAACTATCATTTTTACATAAATGGCCAATTTGTACAAAACAAAAAGCTAAAAGGCTGCAAACCTCTGTTTTGTTTTGTTTTGTTTCATTTTTTTGTCAGAAAATATACTTATTATGGATAGTGAGTGAAGTAAAGATGTTAATATTCACTATAGAGGTTATATCAGCCAAAGTTGCCTTCACATTGATAAAAATACCTTATCTCACTTGTAATCATAAACACTATTCCAGTAAAAGAGGTACATTTTCTCTCCATTTTGCTTCTTGCCTGTATGATCACCATAATAAGTTAAAATGAAATTGCTCTTATATAATCAAAGGAGAAAAGAGAGAGCGAGGAAACGAACATCCCGCAGCCTAGACAATTCAGCACTGCTGCCCTGACAGCTATGTTTATTTATTCATTTAGCCCCCTACCCCATCCCACTTTGTTAGGGTGGAGCTTCACCAAATGATGGGGCTTGCTCAGAAGAGAAACATTTTATGGTCAGCGGAAGTTGAACAGAAAATACCAAAAGGTGGAGCAGGCTGCCCTTCTCTTTCAATCATCATAAGAGGGTTTACTACTACTGAAGGGTGTTCTTTAATGACTGATCCCTGGTCAAGGCTTTGGCCCTTCAAAGTGCTGCTGTTCAAAACGCAGTATGATTCTGTTGAATCCATTCTCTGGTGTCTCTCTTTAGTGGTCTTCTCATTAGTGGTCTTCTCTTCAAAGGGGCTGTTTTCTTACTAGGACAAAAAAAAAATGTTCCATCTCTGGAATTAATGTTGACAGTGTTTTGCTTGTTCCAAGTTTTGATCCTTCCTTCTCAAGCATGCTCGCTTGGCATGATTGACACAGTGCCTATACTGGCTGGCCAGAGCGGAGCATTTGGGGGTCTGGTGGGTGTTCTCACAGTAACACTGAAGAATTTTGGCCTGCAGATCAGCACAGACTGGATGAGACTCATATCGCTTGAACTTTGCTTCCACCTCTTCAGCAGCTTTCTGATAAGGTTCAGTGGTGACTTTGTAGAACTCGGAGCTCCTCTCCCTCAGTCTAGCCAGCTGCTCTTTGTAGAACGCATCCTGCTTCTTGAGTACTTGGTCTTTCTCTTCCAGCTGCCTAGCCAGGTGCTTTGCCTTAGTGCGTTCCTCCTCGCTTGATACCCTCTCCCGAAGGATGGCTCTGGTTAACTGCTCATTGGCAGCAACCCTCTCTTGGTCCAGCTCTTTGGCTTGCTTTAGTCGTTTCTGATCTTCGGACACTTTCTTGGCTTGCTCCAATGCCAGCTCCTCAGCTACTCTTCTTTTCCATTCTTCATCAGAAACTGAGGCACCATAAGCACCAGAATACTGCTGAGACTTCGAGCCAGATGGAGAGGATTTCTTCATTCCATCAATCACATTTTTCAAAACCCGGATGTCCTTCACCACGGTGATGTTCTCATTCTCATCTGCCTCGAAGGTGATCCTGCGGGTGCTGGCAGTCCCATCCATGGCTCCAGTTCATGCCCCCTCCCAGAGACCTAGCACAGAACCACAAGAACTTCAGGGCACCCACACCCATACATGCGTGGAAGGGCCTAGATTCTTTTCCCACACAGCAGGAGCAAGGCCAAGACCCCAGAAGCAAGGAGGATGCCACAAACCTCTGTTTAATCAAAATCAAATTACCATTATGTCTTTAAACAAACACTCTTCTAACAGCAATCTGTCTTACTAATTTTAAGGGAAAGAGGTAGGATTCATTATGAAACTAAAATGTTCACTGAGGTTCAATATCTTTTTGAGACTCAAATAAAATGGGCTTGAATTCCATTGTGTGTGTGTAGCAGAATCCCCGCATCCCTGACAACCTGCCTGGAGTCTGAAGTAGCAGCAGGTAGGATGTAGATGGCTTGTGTTTTACCTGGTTCCTTCCCTCTAACTCCGAGTTCCTAAATTCACTTAATTACTTTAACTTATGAACCACCTGGTAAGAAGAGAAAGCACGGGGCTAGGAATGTGGTTGGTATAAAGGGGAAGTGGGAAATAATAAAACTTTTACTATCAAGGGTCCAGAGGGGAGGAAAAAAGGGAGGTTTTGGCAGGTTGGGTGAACCAGCACAGCTGGGCTTGAGCCCCGTGGAGAAGACAAAGATGTAATCGCATCTTTATGGGGCAAAACCTCTGCCTTCATGTGTAATTCTACAGAGTCTTACCTCTTCATTGCTCATAGATGTCAAAATACGACACTTCCTTAGAAAATTAAGTAATCCATGGCTGAATCTGTTGATCAATGCTTCAAAATGAAACTGGAATTACCTCCTGGCCTTATTTACAGATTTGAGGTAGTTTTCTCTTAACATACTAAATATATAGTGGACTCCAAGCAGTCCCCTGTCATCACCATCACCACCCTAACAGTCTGTCCCAGACTCAGGAGTTGACAGATTGCAATCTCGTCATGGAAAGAAGCCATTTGCTTAGCAGAGATATTCCCTTTGAATAATAAATTCCCTTAGGGCCAAAGAGACACAAAGGACTAAGGAACAAAGAAGAGGGTGCAAACCCCTCCTTCATCACCCTGGTGAATGCAGACTTTGCTTCTTCACCTCAGCCATTCCTATGCACATACCACCCCATGGCCCTAGGCAATGCAGTCATAGACTAAGGAGTCAACAGAATTCCCAGAAATAGACAAGTGAGTGGCCTAAAAAGAATGGAAGGCAGACAAGGCAGGAGTGCGGGCAGGAGCAGCTAAGTTTGCCCAGACAGACAAGACATCCAACTCCTTTGGCCCCACGCACACCCCATCTCCAAATGGGGCCAGTTCTTTCCACCTGTCTCCCTTCACCTGGAACCACCTTCCATAGAACCTGGTAAGAGCCAGCAGATGGGAGATTAAGTCAAGTGTTACTGATCTCAAGAGCATTTGAATTAAATCTGTATGAACACTATGTCTTAGATCACCTAGAGCCCACCCAGTAATGGAAGATCAGAAAATTTCCATCAGTTGAAAATGGGGCTGCAGGGAGCGGGCAGGGGCAGATGTAGTTGCAGATAAAAGACCAGTTTGTGGTCCTGGACTGACCACCAAAGCACTGGGCTACAACAGACCACAGTGCTGTCAAATGGTCGGTATTAAATGCATGCTTATTGTTACCAATGACTGCTGGCTCCATCACCTGAGAAAATTTAGTTAACCATCCTGGATCTCAGGTGTTCCCTATGTGGGATAGAGACATGGTCTCTACAATTACTTGTTTTATTTAGACAGAAAAGGGGAAAACATCACTTTGGATCCCTGGATATTAATCTTGTTCTCAAGGGTCTCAAATTCATTTATACCAATCCTAGGGGACTTTGGGGTGAGAGGGATCAGCCCTGGCATTAGGATCTTTAGTGGAGAACTCAAGCTCTCCAATGGCTGACAGCTGTCACTCACCAAGTGGGATGTCTCTTCAGGCATCACCTCCAGAGACAACTCCGGGCCACCAGTCATCAACTCCCAGTGTTGTCCCTAGAGTAATCACACATATGCCAACCCCCACTGACTCATATGGGAACTAAGCAGTACAGGATGGAAGGAGCCAAACATAGGTGAGCTAGGGGCCTTCCCTTAGAGAAAGCATTTCAAGACAGCCTGAACACATCTCCAGTTGAAGCTGGTCCGAGGCCACTAGTATCACAGAAAGGGCATGACACCTTCTAGAAGATCCTTGACACTGCCAGGAAGGTGGTCATCCTGCCTCCTCCACAGGTCAGGATACTGAACTTTGGTCCACCTCCCCAGAGTGTCACAATCCACTTCATCCCCATCCTCTCCAGAACCTCAAAGAAACTGGCCACCAGCCCCAAGAGACTGGGAGCGTTGGACAGCAAGCACAATTCACAGTCAGTGTGTGGATATGCTCCTCAAAGATGGATATGCTCCAGGGAAGGGGCACTGGCCATGCTCAGAGCCCCATTCTTCTCTCCCAGCTGCTTATAGAGTATGATGTTTGCTGTCATTCTAGGAGGCTGAGGTTTCAAGGCCAGCCCTCCTGAGCTGTTATTATGAGAAAGCGCTATGTCTGCAGATCTGTGAACTGCTGCCAGATGAACGATACATCTGAGATCCGACCTCAGGGTCTGAGCTCCTCAGCTTCCCCCCAGTATTATTTTTGTTTCCAACAGCATAGTTTGCTATTCTACTCACTTGTGCTTTTAAGCTTGGAAATACAATTCTTTGTAAAAAAAAAAATGACATTAATCACTCTGTACACAAAGTATCAGCAAACAAATGCTGTGAGCAAGGCTGAGGGCTCTCAACTGGTGTCCTAGAAAGACTAAAGCAAGAAGGAAGACCAGAGAAAGACTAGGATCTATGGGCAAATGGAGATCCTTCCACGTTTTCTCAGGAGTTCCCATTCTGGCATCTCTGCCTTCATGACTCTTCCTCTTCTGATGTCTCCGGTTCACCAGAACTGTGCTCAGATCATCTGTCTAAATGTGCAGCCTCACCTTGGATCCCCATAGCCAAGGTCCTCACAGAACAGGTCCTAGGAGAAGCCATTCTCAAGCTCCCAACATCAATTTCTGTCAAGCAGACGTTTTTACTCAGTGTGATCATCACATCCCATGGATAAACCTAATTCACACATTGCTAAACACTCCCGATTTACCAGACATCAGTGATCTCTGGTAGATGCCAGCTCACAGATCACTTCTTAGCCATGGGGCTGAGAGCTGCTCAGGAATGTGAAAAAGGCAAAAGGGATGAAGTTAGCTGCTTTTTCGTGTTCTCACCAGAACAGAAATCTCTGTTCAAATTGTTCCCAAATTTCAAGGAATCTGAAGAGATCTTCATTTTACAACAAGCACAGGCTAGAAGGATCATGCTAGTACTTTTCCCAAATGCCTAAATTTCTCAGCCTCAGCTTCTTCAACCTAGTATTGGCTTCATGCAAACTCTGCATTTTTCCTTTGTTTCTTCCTGAGGCCCTGTCCTCTGTGCTACCTTAATCTCAGATCACAGGTCCCAGCATGATTAAAACCTTGGGAGAGTAATACAGCTGAGTTACTATTCTGCTACTTGGGTGGATTCTCCAATTTAGACATGTCAAAAATGTGTGTGTTAGCTTGTTTTCACAGTAAGACTGAGGAAAGTGCCAAGGTACAACTCTGCCAATACAAGGATATGATTAGAAATGGTGCTCATCAGCTGGAAACAATCATTCTCAGCAAACTGACACAAGAACAGAAAACAAACACCACATGTTCTCACTCACAAGTGGGTGTTGAACAGTGAGAACATCGGATACAGGGAGGGGAACATCATACACCAGGGCCTGTTGGGGAGTTGATGAGGGCTAGGGGAGGGATAGCAGGGTGTGGGGGGTTGGGAAGGGATAACATTCGGAGAAATACCTAATGTAGATGATAGGGGGATGGATGCAGCAAACCACCATGGCACGTGTATACCTATGTAACAATTCTGCACAATCTGTACATGTACCCCAGAACTTAAAATATAATTTAAAAAAAAGAGGCCAGGCGTGGTGGCTCACGCCTCTAATCCCAGCACTTTGGGAGGCCGAGGCGGGTGGATCACGAGGTCAAGAGATCGAGACCATCGTGGTCAACATGGTGAAACCCTGTCTCTACTAAAAATACAACAACAACAAAAAATTAGCTGGGCGTGGTGGCGCGTGCCTGTAATCCCAGCTACTCAGGAGACTGAGGCAGGAGAATTGCCTGAACCCAGGAGGCAGAGGTTGCAATAAGACGAGATCGTGCCATTGCACTCCAGCCTGGGTAACAAGAGCGAAACTCTGTCTCAAAAAAAAAAAAAAAGAAATGGTGCTTGACTTAGGTGTGATCCTCTGAGCAATGCTGAGAGTTGGAACCACGGGGCCCTTTTAGTCCTTTGCTCTCTGACTAGACAGGACTGGAACATTAGCCAGACCTTCACTTGAAATCCTGCCTAAATAATAACTAACCTTTAACAAATACCTCTTACATGACAAGCACTTTACTTTCACCTTCTCATAAATCCCCCTAACGATCTCCATGAGGCACAAACCATTCATATCTCCACTTTTAAAATGAAGTAACTAAGTCACAGATGCATGACATAATTTGCCTGAGATGACATAATTATCAAGTGGCAGAGCCAAGAGTGAAAGCCAGACTCTGGAGTACCCAGGCTTAACTGCTGTACTATATTGTATCCACAATTCAGAAAGTCTTTCATAGACCCTTAAGGTACAGTCTCCAAAGATGGCCATCATTAGGTCTTTCTCTCTCTGAATGCACATGCTGCTCCTCCTATCAAGTGGGGGGATCTGTTTTCCTCTCCTTGAACATGGACTAGTCTTATGACTAGGGTGGTTAGATTTAGTAAATGAATTTACAGAAGATCCAGTTATATTTGAATTTTAGATAATCAGTAAATAACTTTTTGGTGTAAGTATGTTTCAAATATTGCATGTGAAATGCATGCCAAAAATTGTTTATCTGAACTTGAGATTTAACTAGACATTGTGTATTTTATCTGACAACTCCACTTGTGACTTGCTTTGACCAAGAGAATATAGCAGAAATGGCAATGTGCTAGTTCTAAGTCTAGCCTTAAAGACAATCATCAGCTTCCACTTCTTCCATCATGAAAGCCT